TAGGTGGTGTTGTTTTCCTGATTTCCTTTTCAAAGTTCTCATTGTAGGTGTGTAGAAATACAACTGATTTTTGTATGTTCATCTTGTATCCTGCTACTCTGCTGAATCTTTCTGTTAGTTCCAGTAGTTTTCTTGTGGAATCTTGGGGGTTCTCTATGTATATGATCGGATCATCTGCGAATAGGGATAGTTTTACTTCTTCCTTTCCAATTTGGATGCCCTTTATTTGTTTTTCTTGTCTTGTTGTCTAGGCTGTATTCTTTATGAGAGCAGATCACCAGGTCTTTTCTCCCATGGAGCCGCTGGTGGGTTCGAACCGTTGACCTTTTGGTTAGCAGCCGAAAAAATTGTGCCACAGGGCTCCTTCCCATATACACTAGAGCATGCAAATATTAGTTTATAGGGGACTAGGGGCAGAGCTAAGATTCAGATATAAAAATACAGAAAACTTTAGACTGGGGTAAAAATCGGTGCTCAACAAAAGAATGGATCCTCAGTTTTATGAGCTGAGATTTTTAAGGATCGGGGTGATCTCATGCCACTGAGCAAACAGAAGGTCCAGACATAAGGGAAGCACAGTGGGGAATCTGTGCCATGGTGAGTGCCTCCCATCAGCCCCTAGACTTCTTATCCTCCCACCTCCTCCCCTTCAGGGTGCCTTCTGCAGCCCAGCTGTCTTGCCTTAACCCTCCAGCCTAGAGAGCCTCCAATCTTCCCTTCCATTCCAGGACAGAGCCAGCCAATTGATCCCTGGACCTGGGGGCCAGAGTGTGCATTGAGTGCACTGGTGGGATATCTGTCTGCCATCAGGGGAGGAACCCAGGTATAAAAGTAGGGAGGGCAGATCACGTCTTGAAGGGTTTGGATTTGGTTGGAAGGAAGGAGGGAAAAAGATATTCCAAAATGGGAATAGCCAGGACAAAGGCCTGGGTATGGGAGATAGTGTGACTTTGAGTAAAAAGTGAACAGGACCCTGAGGAGAGAAGGGAGGAAGAAAGGTCTGGCAATCTGCTTCCAAAAAGATTACAGTCAAGAAAACCCTATGGGCAGTTCTACTCTGAAGTCTGTGATGTGAGCAGTCTTAGGGGCCACTCATCTCAGTGCTACAGGTGAGGCACTCACCTCATGATGTCCAAGGCATTCATCCACTCACTCATTCTGAAAATGAGTACTGAGTACCTGCTATGTGCCAGGCATTGTGCCAGGAGCTGAGGGTATAGGAATGGACAGGACAGACCCAATCCTTCATTCAGCTCAGGAAAGTGAGACACATGATTCCAGGAGGGCAAGGAAACCATTTATCTAGTAGCTCTTTTGTTTCTGATTCAGATGTTTTGTCCCTTCATGTCCCCATAGCCCCAAGAAACTGGGCTTGTCCCCATTTTACTGTCCAGGAAGCTGAGGCTGACTCCTGGGTAGTGCCCCCAAGGAGACATGAGAAGGCCTGCTAGTCAGTTAGTCCTTTGCTCAGAGAGAAGCTGGGAGCCCGATATAAAAACCAAAACCAAATCCGTTGCCATCAAGTTGATGTCTACTCATAGCGACCCTATATAGACTTCCCGGAAAGGCTGGAGTAGGCGTGTCGTTGTACTGGGAGAAGAGGGGCCCAGTTCCTCCGCCCCCTCCCCGCCCCCTGGCCACAGCGTGGCGGGGCCGGGATGGGCCGGGGCGGAGTCGGCGTCGCCTAAGGGGTGGGAGGGCGATTGCTGGGCTCGGCAGGGCAGGCAGGCAGACAAGCGGGGGAACCAGCTCGAAGGACCCAGGGCGACCCAGCGCTCTGGGGATGTGACCTTGCGGCCAGAGGAGGACTTGAGCTGTTCCAGCCGGGAAGACCCCGTGAGTGAGCGCCCGCACCCCTCGCGTCCCCTGCCCCCCGCCCCAGCCTTGTTTCCAGTTTAATTTCCTGGGCTGCCTCAGTGTGGCACTGTCTCGAGGCGACAGGCGACATCGGCCGAAGGCGGTCTGGCCGCAGTCCTTCGGGGTCTGTGGCTGAGCGCTCCAAAGTCAGTGTTGGGGGTGGCGGTGGTTTAGGGGGGCGTGTCCTCGGGAACGGAAATGTCAGGCCGGCTCCTCTGGGTCCTAGGACCTGTTGGACCCAGACCTCTGGGTGAGGGAGGGAGGAGGTGGTGAGAGGGTCCCCGGGGAGGCCGGGTGGGCAGGGGTGGCAGAGCCGCGCTGGAAAGACCGTGGAGTCTCCGCCTCTACCTTCCTCTTGGATCTCGGCCCGGCATGGCGCCCCCACACCGCGCAGCCGAGGATGAATCCTGGGTTCAAACTGGGGCCATCCACTGGCCAAGACCCTGGGCCAGGCTGAGGGAGTGGCAGGTTGGTCCTGGAGGGAGTTCGTGTCAGAACCACGGAGGGTCACCCTATGGTCCTCCTTAGGGAAGCCCAGACACCCATCAGGGAAGTGATCAAGTCACTGGCAATTCTAGGAATAAAAGGATACCCAGAAATAGGAACCAGGTTCAGAGGGGGACCAGCAGCACTTCAGGGAGAGGGCCAGAGGTTCAGTGAGGGAAGAACTCACTAAGAGCATGGGGAGGGGGGAGGGGGGAGTGAAGGAAGACAAGCTGCATGGATAGAACGGCACCTGCCCTAAACCCGCCCCACCTACCCCCAAATCTTACATTTTCCTGGGAAGAGGACCAGGCCTGAACATTTCACAGCAGGAAGGTGGGACTATCGCTCACTAGTCAGGGCACCCAAGTTGCTGTGGCAGTGGGTTGAGGAGGAGTGAGGTTCAGTGTTGGGAGAACAGGAAGCAGTCTGGTCTGTTTGGTGGGGAAGATGCTTCGCCTTCCCCCCACTACCCTCTTTTCCCCTTCTCCCCACTAGACCAGCCCATGCAGGAAAATGGTCCTGTACTCACGGGACTGAGCCTTGTCCAACCTTGTCCCGGCTCTGCCTATAACTTGTGTGACCTCAGGCTCTTCAAGTTCCCTCTCTGGGCCTCAGTCTCCTGTTCTGTACAAGAAGTGGATTGGGCCATCTGATTTCTCAGTGCTTTTCCAACCCTAAGATTCTAGGTTCAAAGTCTTCCTTGAAGCCTGAGCATTGACTGTGTGCCAAGCCCTGACCTAGATTTGGGGGGTGGGGGAGGCAGTGATGGCCAAAGAGCAGCCTCCCCCAGAGAAAAGGAGATCTGGGTTCAGTAGAGGCACAGCCAGGGGGCTGTGGGAGGAGGTAATATTCAACCTGAAGACTGTGTAGTCAGGCCAAGGGGTCAGAGGAGGAAAACATACAGAGACAGGAGAGTGTGCGACGTGTTCAGGTATCTGAAAGAATACCAGGGTGGTTAGTGCAGGGAGGTGGGAAATGGGGCAGGAAAGGTAGGGTAAGGTATTAAGTGCCAGAGCGAGGATCTGTTTGCAATTGTCAGTAAAGGGAAACGTACAAAGGTGGGGAGCCCAGGAATCCTACCCAACTGCAATGGGAGTGATTTTGGAAGCACTTGCCACAGGCAGAGTTTAGAATGGAGGCTGCAAGTGAAGTGTGGAAATCTCGTCTTTGGTCAGGAAACTCAGGTCCCACCCTGGGGACTTCTTTGGGTGAGAAGTTGAGGAGCAGGGGTATGGATAAGATGACCTTTGGCATCTGTGTCTTTTATCAAGGGGACAAGATCCTGCTGGGAGACTCCCCAGATGACCATCATTTTGCTTGATTGTCCCAATCCTGGCCTGCCTCTTGTGTGTATGAGGAAGTACCTTGTTCCAAACATCTCCTCTGTCAGCTTCACTGGTGCCTAAAGTGATCCTCTCCATTATGTGCTGTGCCTTTGGTTAGCCCCAATTACAGGTTTACCCCACTATCCGAAAGTAGAGCATTCCTATGAAGCCTTCTGTAAGCTGAAATGGCATAAAGCAAAGAAGCAATTACCATTACATAATTCATATGCAAAAAAACTTTGAGCTTTCCCAGACCCAAAAACTAACCTACCAAATCATATTAACTAACACATAAAACCTGAAATAACACTAACATGTAGTAGAAGTAGGAATGCTGAGTGTAGTTCCCAGGGAAGGAGCTTGGCGATGCCAATCTCGCTGCTTGGGGTGCATGCAGCCTCTTTAATGACTGCTGCAAAACAAATGCTATTTTCCTCTTCACCTTTTTTCATAAAAGTGAAAAACCTTCAGATTTCTTTTGGTTAGCGGAAACAGGTACTAATGTAGGTCTTTCATAAAAGCGAAGTGGCATAAAATGAACTTTCAAAAATTGGGGAATACCTGTATTGCTTTGTGCTCGTTCTCCCTTCTTCAGTCCTTTCCCAACATTACCAAAGATGTGAGGAAGAAAGATGCTCCAGTGTCAGCCATTCACTCTCAGGTCAAGGTCAGACTTTGTCTGTGGCAATATTCAAGCCTCACTCTAGGGTCAGGGTCAGGGCTCAAACTGAACAGGGTCAGGGCCAGGTCAGAGTTCAGCCTGGGACCAGAGCTCAGAACTATATATACCCAGAACCTAAGTGCTCAATATGGGGTCAGGGTCAGTGTGCTCAGTTTGTGGCTAAATTCCAGTCTCAGCCAGTACCTGGGTTCTGCATTTCCCAAGAGCTCACAGGGGAGATGAGGCAACTACCCTGAGAGTCCCAGAAACATGGCTTCTATTCGAGTGACCCAAGAGGTTGCATGGGCGAAATCCATGCCTGCTACAGGCCAAATCCATGTCACCCAGCAAGTCAGTGATGGAGCTGGGACTAGAACCCAGGACTCCTGATTCCAAGCCTGGGGCTCTGACCACTGCTCCCAAAGTCTGTTCTGAGTCTGGGATCATTCAATTCTAAGAGGCAAAGCAAATTTGTCTGAACTCCAGTGCGTGGCACATAGTAGGTGCTCTAGTGACTACTTAGTGTTGGGTGCAGGGGGAGGGGCCAGTGGTTTGTTAAGGTTTGGGGCTGGAAGAGGTGGGTTTGGGGAGGAGGATTTCCAGCCACTGTCAGAGAAGGCAGAGCCCTGCCACCCTCCCCTTCTGCTCCAGCACCTGCAGTCACTGTGACTGCCCAGCTGGCCACGTGAGGGCCCTTTCCTCTTTCCGGGTAAAAAAAAAAGGAAAAGACTTTTTTGGTAGAAAAGTCCCTCTTGCTCCTTGGGAATCCCCGGTGGCCGGATGAACTACGTGATATCCCAGAGGAAGCTGAAGGCGGGGGCACTCCCCCTGCCCCCAGCACAATGCAGCCCAGCTCTGCCAAACTGCACCAGCTGGCTTATGGGGACTCCCAGAGGTCATCTCGTCCAGGCCCCTGCTCCTGGCAGTCCTACAGGGAGCCTCTGCAGCCTCCCTAAGGGTCAGTAGCAAGTCTGATGAGCACCAGTCTGGAATCCAGGGCCAGCCCTTTGTGAGATGGCATGAAAGCAGAGAGGAAACAAAACAAGACCGAAGGCATAGGATGCAAAGGTTGACCGAAGACTCAGGCGAGGGGGAAATGACATGTTGGGAAATCCAAGCCCCTTTGGTTTTTGCTCCCCATGCCCTTGTCTCCGGCAGGTCAGTGCCCCGGACGCCCAGGCCCAGTTGGGCCATGGCGCTGTGCCTGAAGCAGGTATTCTCCAAGGACAAGACATTCCGGCCCCGGAAGCGCTTCGAGCCCGGCACACAGCGCTTTGAGCTGTACAAGAAGGCGCAGGCATCGCTCAAGTCGGGCCTGGACCTGCGCAGTGTTGTGAGGCTGCCACCTGGTGAGAGCATCCACGACTGGATCGCAGTGCACGTGGTGGACTTCTTCAACCGCATCAACCTCATCTACGGCACTATGGCCGAGCGCTGTAGTGAGACCAGCTGCCCGGTCATGGCAGGCGGGCCCCGCTACGAGTACCGCTGGCAGGATGAGCGCCAGTACCGACGACCGGCCAAGCTGTCAGCGCCGCGCTATATGGCGCTGCTCATGGACTGGATCGAAGGCCTCATCAACGATGAGGATGTCTTTCCCACGCGCGTTGGTGAGCGCCACCTGGCGAGCCCGTTTCACAGATGTGGCATTTAGTTTGATAGGCAGTTCTGTGATGGCGGCATGATTTTGTAGAAGAAACTGAGGTTCCTAGAAGCTAAGTGCCTTGCTCAAGGTCAGGTAACTTGAGTTAGGACTGCCTAACTCCCAGTTTGGGGCTCGTCTTGTCCAAAGCTGGAGTGACCCCGCTAGAATCCCCACAGCACAGACACTATGATTCTCAGAATCTTCCAGGCCCAGGGTGTTCGTAGCAAATTCCCCTGCTTGGGCTGATCTGACCTCCAGCCTCCTGAGAGTTCCCTCTGACTCCTAGCCCCAGGAGGCGCAGGAGTTGAGTGGGCTGGGATGGTATGGCCAGGTCACAATGAAGCTCTGAGGGCAGAATTTTTCCTTGTCAGGCACAGGTCACGGGCCTTTTCTTATCTCAGCTAGGCAGCCTGGGCGGGGGAGGAAGGGAGGGGAGGGGAGTGATGCCACCCTGGCTCTGCTTCCCCACCCCAGAGAGCAGGATGGGGTGTCAGCGGAGGAGCTGAGCAGGCATGACACTGTGTTCATCACAGCTGCCCCACCTGTACCCTGGGCCCCACCCCTACCAGGCCTCATGCTGATCCATGGTAAGGCTGTAGGAGGGGCTAGAATCAGAGATGGGTGGGGCAGGGTAGGCAAGCCCAGAGGGGAGAAATCTGAATGCTGAGGGAAGCTGGGCACTGAGTCACAATTCAATGCCCACAGCTCCTCCCCAGCCAGTGGCCTGCCATTTCCTGTACTATCATGCCTAACAATGGGTACCTTCATTTCACATGGGAAGCAATTGAGGTCGAGAGAGGGAAAGTGGATTCAGAGCTAGAGCTCAGGTCTCTTGTTCAAGATGAGAAGGACAAGCCTGAGGGACTGGGCTGGTCCTGGCAGGGCTCACAGGGAGGCAGGGCTCAGCCCCACCCAAGAGCAGTGGAGCAGGGTGGGCCAGGTATAGGCCTGAAGTGAGCTTTACTCCCTTCTAGCCTTAACTCCCTGGGCCTGGGAGACCCCACATGTCCATGCTTTCATCCTGGGATAGCTCTGCCACAGCAAAGAAGAAGGCATAGCCACTAAGATTTCCACCCTGATAATGAGAACTGTGCAGAAATTGTACTTTTTTCATGGGTCCTGGGGCTTCCCATGGGCAGGAAAGCTGTATGATCTGTAACATATCTGTTGTTAGGTACCGTTGAATTGGTTCCAACTCATAGCAACCCTATGTACAACAGAACAAAACACTGCCCGATCCTGTGCCGTGCTCACAATCATTGTCATGCTTAAGCCCATTGTTGCAGCCACTGTGTCAGTCCATCTCGCTGAGGGTCTTCCTCTCTTTCGCTGACCCTCTACTTTACCAAGCACGATGTCCTTCTCCCAGGACTGGTCCCTCCTGATGACATGTCCAAAGTATGTGAGGCGAAGTCTCGCCATCCTTGCCTCTAAGGAGCATCCTGGCTGTACTTCTTCCAAGACAGATTTGTTCGTTCTTTTGGCAGTTCATGGTGTATTCAGTATTATTCACCAGCACGATAATTCAAAGGTGTCAGTTCTTCTTTGGTCTTCCTTACTCATCGTCCAGCTTTCGCATGCATTGAGGCTATTGAAAACACCATGGCTTGGGTCAGGTGCACTTTAGTCCTTAAAACATTCATATCTAAGGGACTGAAATATGGTGCAAAGAGGGTTGGAACCCTGTCTCCAGTTTTTACTGATTAATAGTTATGTGACCTTGGGCAAGTGGTTATGTGCCTTAGTTTCATCATATCTAGAATGGCTATGATTAGACCCATCAGCAGGATAGTTGTAAGAATTAGAGTCAAAGATGCAGAGGGCCCAGCACAGGGCCTGGCTCATATGAAAGGCTCTTCATAAGTGTTATTGAATATTTGAAGGAATGAGGGATATCTCAACTCTTTTCTCAGAGAATGAATAATCTCACGACCGGAGGTCTGAGGCCTGCTGTGTGAATGTTGAGAAGAGAAGCAACTCTGGATGGGGCTGGAGAGGGAGGTCAGGGTCAGATCATGAAAGGCCTTGAGCAGGTACCATGCAGGAGAGTTAGGACTTAATCTTGAAAACCCTTTTTTTTTTTTTTTAAATGGACCCCATATGTTAATGAACTCTTCTTGGCATCATATACAAGAATGTGATGTGAGCATACCTGCAGATGCACATGTTTCTGGAGGGAGTATTGGCCATTACTTTGATCATAGTTTAAGAAGGGTTTATCAGCGACCCCCCGTTCCTGCAAGGTTGCAAAGCCCTGCTTTAGGTGATGGGAAAATGTGGAAGACGGTTTGTATTTTAGCAGGGAAGAGGCAAAATCATGTGTGTTTCGTTAAAAAAGAAAGTATGGGAGAAAGCAAACCACTACTTCTCTCTGTCTCCCAAAGGGAAGTGTGTTGAGAATTAGGGGAAGAGGCCATCCTGGGCAAAGCCTGTGTGTGTGTGGGCAGGGTTGGGCAGTTTCATCACCAGAATGCCAACTTCCCCCTTCTGCCCCACCCCACCCCCCAGGAGTTCCCTTCCCTAAGAACTTCCAGCAGGTGTGCACCAAGATCCTGACCCGCCTCTTCCGCGTCTTTGTCCATGTCTACATCCACCACTTCGACAGCATCCTCAGCATGGGGGCCGAGGCACATGTCAACACCTGCTACAAGCACTTCTACTACTTCATCCAAGAGTTCAGCCTGGTGGACCAGCGGGAACTGGAGCCGCTGGTGAGGCCAAGCCCCTACTGTCCCTCCCCACCGCTTCCACCTGGGCAAGCCTCTGTATGTTTTCAAGTGCAAAGCCTGCTTGCTTCAAGGAAGTCCAATATACATGTTTCTGGCTCATATATTAAATAACATGGATAAATTAGGTGAAGGCAATGTATTTAACTATAGATTCCCTAGTTTCCTAAAGATCTTGGATAAATTAGGAGAAAACAATTTTTTTAACAGTAGATTCTCTACTTCCTAGGGAATTTATTCACGTTTTACTTTACAACCCCAGATCTGCAGGCTGGAGTTGTGTGTGTGTTAAGGGTGGGGGGGGGGAGGAATTCCTGAGGAGGCGCTGGTAGAGAGGGCAGAGTCAGGCAGAAGAACGGCCAAGCCTTGCGGTTTGGGAAGGGGCTGCCTGGAAGGTTGAGCTCTGACTGACCCCACCCCACCCTGTGTCTCTGCAGAGGGAGATGACAGAGCGGATCTGCCACTGAGCCCAGGCCTGGACGTTGTTGCCCGTCAGGTGGACCATCTGAACACAGTGTGGCAGAGAACCGTTAGGAATCTGGTGCTAGAGTAACCTGAAGGCGCTGGGACTCCCTTCACATGCCCAAAGCCCCTGGACTTCTGGTCCTCAGCAGTGTGCCCATATGCCCCTCTCACTCCTTGTGAATGGAGAAGGAGGAAAGGCTTCAAGGTGGGCAGAGAGAAGGAAAGGAGGAGTAAAACCTCCAGCAGTGAAGTCTGGGAGTAGGGTAGGCCAGAGGGTTTCTTCCTGATACTTGACCCTTCCGTAGTGGTTCCCAACCCCATTTGGGGTATGTGAATGTGACTAAGGTTATGTCAAGAAAGGTGCAAGAGGGTGAGTAGCCTGTGTGAGTGAGCACAGATGACAGTGAATGTTGTGTGCGTGTGTGTGTGTGATTTTGACTGTTGGGTATGTCTGCCTTAGACCCTACCTGGCACATAATACACCCTCCATAAATGTTAGATAAATGAATGTACGAATGAATTAATGAAGAGACTGGGATCATCAAACCACTGTAGGAGTGATGGTAGGTCAGTATCCCTGCTTGGTGTAACTCACCACATGTATAAGTTCACAAATGTGGTTGTAGAAGTATCTCTATGTCTGAACTTTCCAGGCTACTGTCTTCCATGAGCATGAGTCCTGGGGAGCTGGGGAAAGGTGGAGCCTTGCCCTGAGGACCTAAACCCCTGGCCCTCTACAGACACAGGCTGTGATTTTCTCAGCCAGAGATGTTCATGAGCTTTCATTTTACTCATCCCTCTGCCTCCAGGAAGGCCGGATTATAAGCAGCCTCCTGGGGGCTGGAGATGATCCCTTGAGTCCACAAAGGTCCCTCGGTCCTTAAATTGGGAATCATATACTCCAGTATAGCTCCCAGAATCTACAGACCTGCCTCCCAGGATCTGAAGCCCAACACAAAATAATCTTCCACCCCAAGTTGCCACCAGAACTTGGATTGGGAAACTCCAGAGTCTTCTCTCCCATCCTGGGGCATTGAAGAGTCTGTAGCTGGTGAATGGATTCTTCCAGGCCTAGGGAACCTGTACCCTGCAAGTACCTGCCTTCTTCCCAGTCATCCCTGAGACATTCCAGCCGAGTGGATCTTAGATCCCAGCCATCCACAAAGAGACTGGGATGTTCATTTAGCACTCCATTACTGTCACCCCCATGCCCAGAGCCATTGGTGGGGAAACCAAGGCAGGAACATGGCCTTGCCGTACCAGAGCCTCCATGCCGGGAGGCCAGGATGGAGAGCCAGAAGGGACTTGAGATCAGGCTCATTTTTTCAATATACATAGGAGGAAACTGTTGAAGCCAGGAGGAGACAGGGAGAGACTGTCCAAGGCCCCATAGTGAGGCTTTCATGGAACTGGACTAGAAAGCAGCGGTCCTGACTCCCAGCCCAGGGTCTGTCGATTGCTGAATAGGAACATTAGATGCACATGGAAAGAGGGTTCGATAGACCTTCTCCAGGACACAACTGTTCCTGCTTTGAGCAAGGATTTCTAGCCTAATGCCAGAGTGCCCCACTACTCCTCAGGTAGGCTGGGGAGGTCTGCTGAGACAAACCTCCAAAACCATGTGCCCAGAAGCTGCCTGCCCTCTAGGGAAACAGATGGGACTCCTGAGGCCAGCCAGCTGGTCCTGGGACTGCCGCCTTTTCTGCCTCCTGAGAAGTTCCCAAGGGAACTCTGCTGGCCTAGCAGCTTTGCCAGAGGCTCCGGAGTGAGGGGGTCAGATCTTTCCCTAGACTAGACTGTGGCTTGGAAGATGGATTCTAGGCTGTGGCCAGAGCCAATTGTGGGGAGGGGGGCAGGGAAATCTATTTTTGTGAAACAGAGGGAAGACTATTGTTGTTATTTTTGGTAAAATAAAGGAGGCAAACTCAAGCGGCTGCTGTGAGGATCTGTGGTCTGGGTGCCACATGGCTCCTGGGCAGGCTGTAGAAGGAGCCTGGGCAGGCTGTAGAAGGAGCCAGGCCAGAATGGGGCAGGGAAGACTCTTTGTCCTGAGATCTGGGCCATGTGGAGGGCTGGCTGGTGTGGTTGTGTCTGGCCCAGCTTTACAGGGTGGAGACGCTGAGGTTTACCCAGGGCTCTGGAACTTCTGGGCCAGGCTGGGCTAAGACCCTTGGGGTGGGGATGTCTGGCCTTGCCTTCCTGAATGTTGGGGAAGTTTTTCCTTGTTTCAGCTCAGGTCACCTGACACCAGCTATTCTTGCCCTCCCCCCTTAGTCTGGGTGGTTTATTGGAGCTAATCGGTTAAGAGACAGGAAAGAAATACAGTCCCAGTTCTAATCACAGCAGAGGAATCCCTTTTCAAGAAATTGTTTGTTGGGTGCTGGCTAGAGCTCAAAGTGGTAGTGGTAGGATATGGGAAAGACTCCTGAGCTTACTCCCCAGGAGGCAACTGAGTCTTTTCTTGGCTCACGTCTTACTGTTTTTCCACTGCCTCTTATTTACAAGCTGCCTGGACAGGACTTGAGAAATAGCTTGGTTCTGAAGAGTCAGCAAAGGCCCACTTGGAGCCCTCCTCTCCACCTGCAAAGGAGACAGCCTCGTTTGGTACAAGAGTTCTCCTGTGAGGGAGGGACCAGGGTTCCAATTCCAGCCCAGCCCCTGAGGTACCGTGGCAGCCCCCTTCTCCCTCTAGACCTCAATTACTTCATCTATGTTACGTTCAGGTGTGGGAGCAAAGGACTGACTGATCTCTAAGCTCTTTCATTACTTCCAGTCTGTGAATCAGTCACAGTAATAACATAATAGCTAATGCTTACTATGGTCCATGTATGTTCCAACTATGTTCTGAGTGCTTGTTGTAGAATAGCTCGTTGAATCAAGTTTGTCTTGGGCCAGCTGCCTGGCTCCTCTCCTGACCCCCAGCACCCTCCTTTCATTGCTCCAGGATCTTGAAGGCCCTCCACTTTGCTGCCCTTTCTTCTGGCTCACCAGAGGAGGCCCCAGTCCAGCATTCTAAAAGATGGCTTTGCTTGCACACCTCTTATGACAGGTCACTTACTCCTCCTCAGTCATTGGACAGCTCAGACTGTTAGACAGTTCAGCCTCTGGACTCATGGTTATTTTGAAACACCATGGCAGTAAGGATCAATTTATCTCAGAGTTGTGTAGTCCAGGGCCTACACCTTACATGGGAATGTCTGTGAATACATCAGGAAGGCTTCATAAAACTGCTTTGAAAGATTCCGAGAGGGATGCTTAGAAAAGAATAGACAGAGGTAGAGAGAAAGAAAGGGAGAAAAGAGAGAGCTGAGGCCTCAGAGATACAGAGCAGAGTCCCCCACAGGTCAAAACCTGGCAGGAGAGGGTCCTGGGAAAGGCAATGTACTGAGGGTAGAGGGGCAGCATGGTTGGGCAGCCAGGCTGGGGAAGGCATTATTTTCCTGTTGGCTAAGATCTGTAGAAATCCTTGGAGCAGGAATGAGTGTTCCGTTCTCCCCACCCTGGGGCAGAGCATCCATCTGTTGAGTAAAGAATGCCCCACCACCCTTGACCCCAAAGAACACTGCAGCCTCCTCATGGAGGTTTTCTGCTGCAATATTTTCATACCCCACTCTACCCTCCTGCACAAGGGGGCAATGGAATATGGTGAAGGGAGCCCCAAGCATGGCTGGAGCACCACCTGCTTTGGGAGAGCACTCCTTGACCTTTCCCTCCTTTGAGAATCACCCTCAGCCCTCTTATCCAGTGTTAACTGAACTTGGTTGCTATGTGGGAAACATAGCAACTTTATGAACCTGGATTGGAATATATAGGCCTGAGTGACTTAGGACCAGCTGTCTACTGAGACAGGGAAGAACAGGGAGGGCAACAGGCCATCAAGGCCTCTGAGGACTTGAAGCTTGTGGTGGTCCTGGAAGGTGATGGGTGGGAGAGGTCAGGATATACAGGGGTCTTCAGGCTGGACTGGGAGATTCCATAAAGGACTGGACTAAACACAGAAGTGCCGGAAAAATACTCCCTCTCCTGCCTTCACTCAGGCTGGAAAATCTAGCAAATCATCCAGGCTTCCTTTCAACATACAGAAGACGGAGACCAGAAGGGAAAGGGAACAAATGTTTGTCAAGGTGGAGAATTTCTCAGCAGACCCTCACAGCAATCTTGAAACAGGCAGGGAAGGGATGTTTACTTCCATTTCACGAAGGAAGAAACGGACATTTTGAGACAGGGCCTGAATTAAAATCCAAGTCAGCACTCTCATCCTCTCCTCGCACCTGCAGCCCTGGGGAGGGGCGAGGGCTCGCTGAGGCATTAATTTATCTGTAGTTGTTTCTCTCCAAGAAATGAGCTTTTAAATTTTTTATTTTGAACTATTAAGTGCAATGCTTTGGCTCAAGGAAGATCTCTCATGGGGAAATTATAGGCACTCGGACCTTTAAAGAAATTTTACAGAATTAGCCTCCGTTTTAGAAAAGACTAGCAGCGTTTCCCCATATCTAAAAGGCATGCCCATATTTCCAGCATGCAGAAGCGCTCTGTGAATATTATTTACACCTGTCGCTGCCTAGCCTCCCCCCCGAGCATTTCCCTGGCTACCAGCCCCTGGACTGCACGAAGATAGCATTAAAAGGAGCTAAGCACCACCCCTACCCCAGCAATTCCCCCGCCCATTTCATCTCACGCCTGCGCAGTTCACTTAGCTCGGCCGTCTCGCCCCAGGCATTAGGGCGCAGAAGCAGGCGCAGGCGCAGCCCCGCCCCCTCACGCCCTTCTTTGGTCAGGTCCTCCCCTCGGGTCTAGCACCGCCTCTTCCGCGTTCTAGGCAAACCTATCTGTCAGCGGCGGGGCGCGCGAGAGATCCCCCGGGGAGTCAGCTGTGGTAAAGGAGAGGCGGAAAGGTATCCCTCCGAGAAAAGTGGGGCGGGGGGTTTGTGAGTGACTCTTTGTGACTGGGGGGGGCAATCAGGACTTTTAGAGCGGCTCGAGGTCTGTTGCGGAGGGACAGCCAAAGGGGACAATTCTTTAGGGCTCTCCTCAGGACTCGGTCTGTGAGATCAGGGAGCAGCGTGTGTCGTCAGTAGGAGCTCAGCCTGTACCTAGGGTCGGGGTTTGGGTTGTGACAGGTCAGGGCTCGGTTCGTGTCCGAGGTTGGAGCTCAGTCTGTGGCCAGTATGATACTCAGTCCCCACTAAGGATCAGGGCCGAGGGTATGGCTGGGACCCATGTTCAGGCAGCAGCAACATCATAGTTTTTCATTGGAGGAATTTATGATAATTTTATAATTTGTTTTAAAGTTATCTGCTTTCATTTATTTTGCAGTATTTAAAATCTCCTACCATGTGCTGAAGGAGGCCTGGGGGCAGCAGCGGTTAAGCACTTGGCTGCCAACCGGAAGGTTGGTGGTTCAAACCCACCACCAGCCGCTCCGAGGGGGAAAGATGTGGCTGGCAGTCCGCTTCCGTAAAGATTTACAGCCTTGGAAACCCTATGGAGGCAGTTCTGCCCTGTCTTACAGGGTCGCTTGAGTTTGACCATGTGTTGGTGACTGTATAGTGGGGAGAGGAATAGTGTCCCGGGCAATCTCTGTCCTCAGCTCCCAGGCCAATGGTCATATGGTCAGTGGCAGATCAGAGGCCAGCACAGGTGACAGGAATGAAGTGTTGTTGGAGGTGATTGGCACTGGGGTCAGGCAGTGCTGGGTTCTGTCTCACTTTTGCAACTTCCTAGCAGTGTGTCAAGTCATTTCCCCTCTCAGAGCTTCAGTTTCTCCTTTGAAAAATGGGCATAGTAGGGTCACTATGAAGGTTGAGTAGGATTGCATGTAAGTCATCCAGTATGGTGCCTGTTACAGAGTGGGTGCTCAATATGTGGTAGCTGTGATTTCCAGGAACTTGTAGGTAATTCTGGACTGAGTACTTTAGAGAGGCCTTGGGGGCGTCCTTGACATGGCCTGGGCCTTAAATCCTGAGTGGGACTTATAGGTGGAACTGACTTTGCGGGATGGAAAGGGAACTGATAATTATATTTACCAGGGCTTGGAACTGGTTCAGTTTGAACCCCTGCTGAGAATTTGTATTACCACCCCCAGATATACTGAATCAGAATCTCCATTTTAACAAGATCCCCAGGTGATTCTTATGTATAACTTCTTGGGAACTTGTTAGAAATGCAAATTCTCAGCGGGGGTTTGAACTAGTTCAAATCCCTGATACTTACTTGCTCCTCTGTGCGTCAGGTACCCATGCTGGGCAGTTGGTAAATATTGTCTCATTGAATCCTCAGCCATCAGCCAGCTGCTTTCAGCCCCACTACCCTTAGCTTCAGCCCCTCTAAAGATGTGAAGAGAAGACCCAGGTTTGGGTTTTTATATGGAGTTGTGAAAGCTGGACACTTTGGTGCACCCTCCTCCTACTTCTTCTCCCACCTCAGCTCTTTTCTTTCTGTGGTCCGGAGGGTTGGTTGTTTTCTTGACTTTGTCTGGAAGGCCTATTACTCTAGTGCTCTAGCAGATTTTGTCAGTTGGGCCTGGCAAGTGAATACCTCTTAAATTCAAATTGTATGAGCTGGACCATGGGAGAGAGAAGCTCTGTGAACAGGAGCTGTTGGATTCTAGCACTCCTTAGGAAGCCCATGTGGTCTCCTATTATGTGGTCCCATAGTAATCGAGTAACTGGGTCCTTTTCTATCCTCCTCATGGGTGCCCATGTGATCTTCTTAAAATACTGTTCTGATCATGTTATACCTCTGCATATCTCTGCTCAGAAACCTTGGGGGCTTCGTTGCCCACTCTGTAGAGTTTGGATTCATCAGCCTTATAGACAGGTCTCTCCATGCTCTGATCACAAACCTCTCTCCTGCTCTATTTCCCTTTGTTTTCCCAAACCTGCACCCTGTGCGCCAGGCGAAATAAACAAGTCTTGATTCCTCAGTCGCACCCCGCATATTCCTGCTCCAGCCTTTGCTTGTATTCTGTCTTTTTGGAGTTCCCTCCTCCTACTCATCTTTCAAGGCCTATGTCTTATGTGACCTCCTTGGTGAAGCTTCTCTGATTCCCGTGCTGGATTAGTTGCTCCGTTTCCCATCATCTATAGCAGAAGCCGAACCTCAAGTATAGCTCTGATCACAGAGCTTGGGGCCTGTCACCCCATATGTACTCTGAGTGCACTGATGGCAGGGACCATGTCCGTTTCATTCCTCCTCTGCCTGACACATAGTAGGCCTCTGCAGTGTTTGTTGAATGGGTCAGTGACATTTTTTATTTACTAGTGTTGATCCTTGTTTTGTGAGCTGGCCAGGTTGAGAGGGGCTTTGTATTTTTCCTTCTTTCTACCTAAGGAGGGCCCTATTTAGATTAATGATACCCTAATTACAGGCAAGAGAGTACAGGAATTCTGCAGGAGACAGGATTCCTCTTTGCTGATACTGTATTCAGTCTCCTGCCTTGCCTTTATGTGAGTTTTATTGGGGTGGGTGAGAGAAGTGGTGCTATGTTCAGGAGATCTGCACTGGGTGTGATATATTTCACCCAGGGGAATGCTCACAGGTGGTTTACTGATCAGTTGCTTTGCCCTTGGCCTTGGGAAACATGGTCTCTCCCATCTGGAGACTAGCAGCTAGGCATTCACATTTTTCCTTGCCAACAGCCTCAGCACATGGAACAGAAGGCTCTTTGTTGATCATAAACATACACATTGTTGAAGATGGAAGGGCTTGGGAACCATCTGGGTCTACCACTTTCATTTTACAGGTGGGAAAAGCCCGGAGAGGGGAAAGGACCTGATCGAGATTGTACAAGTGGTAGAGATAGCTCTACAAGTGACACATGTTGACTTTTTTCCAGTCTGTTACATTGTTAATGTCATATCTAGCATTTATTGAGTGATTACTATGTGCTGGACACACCAGTTCAACAATTTGTAATGTGTAATTCAATGACATTGATTGCATTCTTCAAGTTGTACAACCATTCTCACTATCTTTCCCCAAATTATTCTACCACCATTAATATAATATAAATTCATTACCCCTTAGCAAAAATTCCCCTCCCCCCCCAGTAACCACTAATAATTTTTTTGTTTCTGTGTATTTGTTTATTTTATATAAGTGATATCATACAGTATGAGTCCTTTTACACTGACTTGTTTTGCTCAGCATAATGTTTTTAAGGCTTACCCATGTTGTGGCATACATTAGGACTTCATTTCTGTTTATGGCTGAGTAGTATTCTGTTGTATGTATATACCACATTTTGTTTATCCATGCATCTGTTGATGGACATTTTGGTGGTTTCCACCTTTTGGCTATTGTGAAAATTGATGTACAGGTTTCTGTTTGCATTCCTGCTTTCACTTCTGGCTATACCTAGGATTGGGATTGCTGGGCCATATAATCATACAGTATGAGGAACTGCCATATAATCATACAGTTTGAGGAACTGCCAAACTGTTTTCCCCTAGATGCTTTTTTAAGTGCTTTATATGTATCATCTCAAAACTCTATTTTTAGACATGGAAACTGAGGCAGAGATAAATTATTCAGATCTATTTTCTGATTCCACACACAGGTTTTAGTAACTGGCTTTAATGACAGTCATCTCCTAACCAGTGGTGGAACAGTTCTCC